AACTAGTGTCAGCCTTTCGAGCCTCATGAACCCCATGTTATATTTGTTGAGTACGACATGTACTTACGCTTGCTTTATTTTTCAATTATTTGGATAAAAATCCCGGATAGGTACCAGATTGCTAGAGTTTAGAGAAGTTAGGCTTATGATCAACCAGTCAGTTGTCCCTATGGAACTAGAGTCTTCACCCGAAGATCGGAGTTGTCTTTCTGTTGTTTGCTGTCTAAGGTTATATCCTGTATACTAAGTACGTTATATGTTGAGCATTGTCTTTTGATATTATCCTTATTTATAGCTATATGTGAGATTTGACTTCCTGGGCTCACATATGGTGCGTATCTGGTTTTGTTCTTAAAACCGGGTGCTACACCTTTCGTCCAACCACATTTCAGCGACGGTTCCTATAGCCTCGCCGTCATGGATAAGCACTCTCTCTGTCCACCTTCTGGTCACCGTCAAGACGTGTATTACGAACGGCGACGGTGGCCACTCTGACTCCAACGTTGCCCTCTCCACACTACCAGCTAAGCCGCCACCCGAAGAAACACGAGGGGTCAATAACACCTCACAGTGCGGCGACACAGCAGGATCGAACACGAGGTGCATGTCGTCGTGGAAATAGAACTCCCTCCCGATCCCCATGCAGGGTGGTGGGAACTCTGGCAAGGGCACCCACCACCCGGTTGCCGGGTTGAGCAAGCCACCCCAGAGGAGGACGATGCCGTTGTAGTGGTCTCGGACGTGCACATGATGAGGCGTGCAGTGGCGGCGGTGGTCTCTGAAACGGAAATTACCTATGGAGATGGAGGGGCGGCGGAAGAGGTCGGGGAGAGGCAGCTCGTGGTAGTTGATGAGTAGGCCGGCCAACGTGTGGGGAAGAAGGTCGCTGCACAGCAGGCAGTGGCCGTCGATAAGCTCGCGCCACACCCTGCAGACGCAGCGGAACGTGGCGAGGTCGCGCGGACACTTTGGCGAGCACGTCGTTGGGGAGAAGTCGCGTGGCGCCCTCTCCCCCTCTACCAGCTCCTAGTACATTTGCCTCTTCTCCCTAATTTTGTTCTTATATATGACGTACGATCAGCTCTTGAATCGTACTTCTCCAACCGATCGACTATTATTTATGGACGGGATGGGGGTCCTAGGTTGGAATCCGAATAGGTCTTATCTCGTTTAGAACATGAAGTGTCGAAGGATCAAACACGAGTCTCAACTCAACACCACAACAGAGCATCGTTTAAACTAGGGAGCTATAGACATTTAGCGGTGGGAATCTCCTAAGGTTAAAACCACCCTATAGCGGGTGAAATAAGCTAAATTCAGCTTGAGTATAAATAGTGACAGATATAGCCAGCTATTTGTTACTTTGCCATCGACAAGATCCGCAAACCATTTCTTTGGCGCGGAACAAAGGTGGTGAATGGTGGGCACTGTTGGGGGGACTCGGCCTCTATGAACTCAAACTTCTTGGCTTCGCGCTTCGGATATGTTGGGAGTAGTTCCGGCGCACGGACTCAACAAAGTCTTGGCAGGCGTTTCAACCGCACACGAACAAAGCAGTTGCAGCCCTGTTCAAGGCTTCTCTTTCAGTGAAGGTTGGGAATGGGCATTCACTCTGTTGGAGAGAGAACTGGATAGACGGTCACTCCATCTTCGACATTGCACCTAGCCTTCATGCTCTGGTTAGCACGCACATTCGTACAGTCAAGGAGGCGCTCTACAACCATCTTTGCGTTCGATATATCTCCGGAGGGCTTTCCGTTCGTGCTTGGATTATTTGGACATCTGGGACATGGTGGAACGCACGCGCTTTTGGACATGCCGGATGCTTTTTTGTGGAAGTGGACAGGTAATGCTTAGTACTCGACCTTGAGTGTGTATAGATCATTTTTTGTGGGACAAACAACAATCCTCGCAAAACAGCTTTGTAAGGTGTGGGCGCCAAACAATTACAAATTCTTTATGTGGCTAGTCCTTCTTGGTCGTTGTCGTTGGACGTCGAAGAGGATGCAAAGACATGGGCTGCCTAATAGCGCGCTTTGTTCACAGCAAGAGCGTGAGACACTTCAACATCTACTGCCTCACTGTGTTTTATAATTAGCAGGGAAACATGGTTTAGGATTCTAAGAGCATTTGAGTTACAATTCTAAAGACTGGCTACCATCCTCAGAATCTTCTTGGGAATACCGGTGGCTTTGGGTAAGAAAGTCAATCTCGAAGTCTCGACGTTGAATGTTTGATTCCCTATAGTCGTCCTGATCACTTGGAGGATTTGAAAGGGCACTCGAGTGTTCAGAGGACAATCGCTTCAGCCAGTGCAGCTGGTTAATGGTATTAAAGAGGAAACAGGTCATTGGTCGCAAGCCAAGTCAATCCTTTCACTTCCATTATAGCAGTTTTAGGTGCGACAGTTTCAAGCATGGCTTGAATTGTGTGTTGGTTAGGGATGAAAACGTACGGAAATATTCCGAACCAAACCGTGTCATTTTCTATATTTGAACCGATCAATTTCGCATTTTCGGACAAATTCGAATTCACGGTTCGAAATTCAGACTATCAAATTCGAACACAGAACGAAAATGGTTTAGATTTTTTCGGACCGTTTTTTACTTTTCTACGTTTAATTCGGAGTGTACCGTTTTCTAAATTCGGTTTAAACTGAATTTGGTCCACTACGCAGTACGCACAGCACAGCCCACAAAGCCCACTCTACAACCCAGCCCAATGACAACCCTAATCTCCTCAGTCCTCCACTCCTCCGACTCCTCCCTGGACCCTATCCCTCCCTGGCTCCCTGCCGGCGCCCCTAATCCCTCCGTATCCCCTATCCACGCCGCGCGGCATGAGTGACGACGGGCGACGCGACCGTGAGTCCGCGATGGCCGCGCCTCCACCCGACCCCGCCGGCCGCCCACGTCCCCAGCCCACTAGCGTCACCACCCATGCCATCGATGGCACCCAATGGAGCTGGAGAAGGGGGTTCTGCTCCTGGAATGAAGATCAAGGGCAAGTCCAAGACCAAGAGCATGCGCCACCTTCTAGCGCAACCAGCAGCATCGGCACCGGCATCGGCACCGGCAACAACGGCTTCTCCAGCAGCAGGTACTAATTTGGGATCGATTGCTTGATTATTGCTTTTGCTATTGATGAAGCTTGGCTATTTGGGACCTTTTGCTTGATTATTTGGGACCGGCATGCACTGATTTAGCAATGTTTCACTTGGCTCTTGGCAGGATCAAGGAGTAAAAGGCCTTCATCTCAAAGTATTAGCTCTAGTGGAACTTGTGAAAGTCCAGCTACAGCAGTATCAGTAGCAACATCAATGATGGGTTCTTCTGCTCCAAATGTTGACACCAGTTGCAGTGGTAGTGGCACTGGCGCACAAGCAACAACCACAACTCCAGCGACCACAACTCCAATTAATGTCGATGATGATGACCAGGATGACAAGGATGAAGAGCAGGCTCACCTTTCTGGCAAGAGGTTCAAGAAATGCACATCGTCTGTCTGGAAGTATTTCACCAAGAAAAAGGTGGTTGTAGAGGTGGAGGGAAAGCAGTTTGAGCAGCTGTGGGGATACTGCAATTTCGCTAACTGAGGGCGTATGTGGGATGACTGCATTCAAGAACCATTTGAAGACAAAGCATAGTATTGTGGAGGGACAACAACAGCTTAAAGTTGATAAGAACCCAGGTAGTGAAAATGCTCATGTTCAGCCTTTCAAATATGACTAAGAAGCTAGCTTGAAGAAATTGAATTTGGCAATAACCATGCATGAATATCCTTTCAATATAGTTGAGCATGAGTATCTTGTTGATTTCATAAAATCTCTTCGTCCAAGCTTTCCAATAAGTCCCGTGTCACTAGGAAAGAAATAATGGACAAATATCTTGAAGAAAAGGAAACTTTGTATGCACTCTTGAAAACTATCAAGTGTCACTTTAGTGCAACAATGGATATGTGGACCTCATGCCAAAATAAAGGATACATGTGTGTTACTATTCATTGGATAGATGATAATTGGCGTATGCAAAAGAGAATTATTGGTTTCTTCAATGTAAAAGGAAGGTATACTGGTGCAAAGTTGTCTGAGTCATTCACTGAAGTTATGGTTAAATGGTACATTGAAAATAGACTGTTTGCTTTGACTTTGGATAATGCTAGTTCAAATGAAGTGGCTCTCAACGATATAATTTCATATCTGAAAGAGAATGCTAATAGTTCCCTAGTTTGTGATGGGATGTTTTTTCATGTTCGATGTGCCTACCATATTTTCAATTTGGTTGCTAGAGATGGGTTGAAAGACATTTAAAAAACAATCAGGAAGGTCAAATCACTTGTACTAAGCTGTGAAAGGGTCTCCATTGTAGTGGGAAGAGCTTATGATGCGTGCCACCGAAGCTAGGTTGGATACAAAGAGGGGTATCTCGATGGATGTTTCAACCAGGTGGAATTCTACATACCTAATGCTGAGAGATGCCTTGTACTACAAGGATGCATTTATTAGGTTGAAGTCTTCAAATCGCTGTAGTTATGCCAAGATTTCTCCATCTTCTGCTGAATGGGACAATGCATTGACAATTTATGGTTGCTTGAAGAAATTTTATGATCTCACCGAAATTCTATCTGGCACTTCATATCCTACTGTAAACTTACTTTTATAGAGGTTTCTGTGATATAAAGCTCTTGCTTGACGACTGGTGCTGTAGTGGAGATGCTACAATTAGAGATATGACAATTGCTATGAATGACAAATTTGACAAATATTGGCAGTAGTCCAACATTGCTCTAGCCGTATCCTGTTTTCTTGATCATAGGTATAAGAAAAGGCTGATAGAGTACTACATGAAGAAGTTCTATGGTGATCATTATCAAGTTGAACTTAATGAGTTTATTACTGTGCTAAAGAAACTGTACAACTTTTATGTTAATCCTGCTCCTGCATCATAAAAAAAAATAGTAAAGGGGTTGCACTTGGACCTAGTAACATAGCTGATATATTAATGGGAAATGTAGACCATGACCTAGAAGAATTCTTATATGATGCAAGTGAACCTGCTATGGTTGAGTCAAATGAGTTGGAGAGGTATATTGCAGAACCACTTCTGAAAATTGTTGATGAGTTTGACATCTTAGCATGGTGGAAAAACAAGAGAGAACAATATCCTATCCTTTCACAAATTGTTCGGGATGTAATGGCCATACAGGTATCAACAGTAGCATCTGAGTCTGCTTTTAGTGCTGCTGGTCGTGTTGTTTATCCCTATCGTAGTCATCTTGATCCTTTGATGGTACACGCATTAATTTGCACAAAGGATTGGGTTGCTGCAACAAGAAAAGGTGCTCATTTTATCTTTTTTTAGTTAGACACACTTATAATTGCAGTAGAATAATGCATTGATTATTTTCCTTTCTCATTTTTTGTTTAGATTCTAAAATGGTTGGATCAATTGTGAGTGATCTTGAGGTTGAGGCTTTGGCTAATGTTGTGGCTAAACTGAAAATTGAGGTATATTTATTGACTGCTTGCTCTGAAATATGCTAGTTGCTACATCTAATTTGAATTCACTTTGCAAAATTGTAGGAAAAGGACAAGTAGGGGGATGAGGAAGCAAAAGATATGGAAAGTGATCCTGACCTCATAGATGATGTTGATGAACCGTAGATATTTTGTTATCTGTTAGTGTTAATTGTTTGTTCTAGACTTGTATTTGTGTGTCAGGATGTCAGCTATTGTGTTAATACTTAAGACCAAGGGTCATGTACTTGTTAATTATTATATGCGCTTGAACTTGATTGTGCACCTAGTAATTGTTATGTGCTTGGGTCATGCACTTGTTAATTGTTATGGACTCTACGGGTCGGTATTCCATATTGAATTTTCGTATACCGACCGTGTTCGACATAATTCTGCTCGAATTTGTTTGTTTTCAATATTCCGTAAGTTCGTGTTCGTTTTCGTGTCCGGCTTTACCGTTTTCGCTTTGGTTTTCGTATTCAAATGTAAATGTAGAAAACGGTTGAGGGGTTTTCCGACCGTTTTCGACTGTTTTCATCCCTAGTTGGATGGTTTATATCTCTTTTTTTTATTTCTCTCTTTGTTCTTTCTTTTCCTAGGCACTCCGCATGCTTTTTTTTTCTTGTCGGTCTGTTTTGTTCTGTACTTTTGTACGTTATATGTTCCATTCTCTTAATGAAACACGTGAATATCATGATCTCTAAAAATCTGTTACTTTGCACAGAGCCCTCATCCCTGCCCACCCATCAGTTGGCTTATCCGTCCCAGTGCAGGTCCTTCAGCAGTCAGGGCCCGGTCGCGTACGTCCCTATCGCTCAGGTGGCGAACAAGAGGCCTTTGTACTTGGTTTGCAGAATCGCAGGTTACAATTAGGTTGATTGGCACATGTAGTCGGATAGGAGCCGTGCATTCTGTTTCCTTTTCTGTTAACACAGTTACACAAACCATCTGGCCCCAGTTGCTTATTTACTGTCAAATTCTTGGAACAAACCAGAATGTATGAAACAAAGGCATACATTGAGGATATAAAGTTTAGAACCGTGCATGAACGCTTTCTGTAGTAATGAACAGAGACAAACTAGGGCCTTCTCGTATGTTACACGACATCTCTATCTCTATAATAGGATTTCTGCACCAAAAGCGGGCACCAGATAGTGCCACGCCATCCACTAACCCAATAACCGTCGGATCAAGTCACTGACCGACATATGAACCATCCGATGTGGTTAGCGGGTCGTCCCTCGCCCATTAAGCGAAGAAATCGGGCGCTCCAAAATATTTGTGAACCCTCCCCTCATCCCCTCCCCTCCGCCTATCGAGTCGTGTGCCTCATCGTCGACACCCCCTCTCTAGTTCTCTCCATCGCCAGTATCTCCTCGCTGTTGTTGTCCTCTTCCCTTCTAGATGCATCTCGCTGGCTGCCTGGCCCTAAGCATCCATGTGCATGGTGAATGCAACGGCACATTAGGCCATCAATGCAGCAAGCCGACCACTAGCCACGTTAATTAGCGGGCGTTGTTGCGCCACCTGCTCTTCCTTCTAGTGCCATGCCATTCGTTAACCCAATAACCGTCGGATCAAGGAAGACATTGCACAAAGAAAAAGGGCTTTAGAAAGGGAAGGCTAGCAAGCTGAAGTTTGTGCTGTACCCGTGTTCTTCCATGCCACTGCTTTTTTCCTCCTCTATTTTCCCTTTTCTGTTGATCTGCGACCTGTACATAAAACTCTTTTACTCCTTCCTTAATTTGGGAGACAGAGCTCCTGCCGTTCAAAAAAATAACCGTGGGATCAAGCGATCGAGCAACATGAACCATCCAATGTGGTTAGCTAGTCTCTTGCCCATTAAGCCAAGAAATCAGGCGCTCCAAAATATTTGCGAACCATCCCCTCCCCTCCGCCTACCGAGTCGCTCGCCTCATCGTCGACACCCCCCTCTCTCTAGCTCCCTCCATTGCCTGTCATCTCCTCGCTGCTGCTATCCTCTTCCCTTCCTGATGCATCTCGCTGGCCACCTGGCCCTAAGCATCCATGTGCTTGGCAAACACGACACCACTCTAGGCCATCACTGCAGCCAGCCGGCCACTAGCCACGTTAATTAGCAGGCGTTGCTACACCACCTTCTCTTCCTTCTAGCGCCACGCCATCCGCTAACCCAATAACCGTCGGATCAAACCATCGAGCGACGTGAACTATCCGATGTGGTTAGCGGGTCTCTCGGCCATTAAGCAAAAAAAATCAGGCACTCCAGAATATTTGCGAACCCTCCCAGTCTCATCACCTCCCCTCCGCCTACCGAGTCACGCGCCTCATCGTCGACACCCCTCTCTGCCTCTCTCCGTCGCCCATCATCTCCTCGCTGTTGTTGTCCTCTTCCCTTCTGGACGCATCTCGCTGCCCGCCTGGCCCAAGCATGCATGTGCTTGGCGAACGCGACGGTACTCTAGGCCATCACTGTGGCCGGCAGGCCACTAGCCACGTTAATTAGCGGGCGTTGCTGCACCACCTGCTCTTCCTTCTCCCCTAATCTTAAGCTTTCTCACTCCGACAATAACCAGGCTTCACCGTCTCTATGTAGCGTGATGACGTGAGATGTACACTACAAGCTTAGCTAGTATCGAAATATGTAAGTACTTGAGTATTGTTGATCTTGCAGAATTCCTGGAAAATTATATTAATAGCTCCAAATGATAGGCGACTCAGTTTCCTATCTTGTTAGTGTTATATATAATGTGTATGCTAAAATATGTGGACCCATGAATTGTTGGTTCAAATTTCCAGAAATATTCAGTTTCTTAATCCATTTTATCTTGTCAAAAACTAACAGTTTCTTATCAGCTGGTTATTCTGAATTTCTATAGCTGGTATTTAGACACTGCTATTCCTTTCCCTTTCTTTATTGCTTTGCAAAATTGTTTCGGCTGCAGAAATTGGCTGTGATCTAAAACTCGATCCGCGGTGGCTAGACAGCCCCGGGTATTCCGGCTTAAGAAGAAGATCTTCTCACGCAGATTGAGAAAACCCCCGAATCCCTGCCCCACCCATACATAGCGGCACCATAGCTAATGAGATGAGCTGGGCATAGACCTATGCTTTGGATGTGGGGCAGACGAGAGAGTTTTTTTCCTCCTTGATCACTGCGGCTAAAGCCACGAATAAAGAGTGAGTCCCTTGAGACTCGAACATTGACCACCCCAATGGGAGGTACGGAGCCTCCTAATGACCTGATCTGATTCAGTGTACCTTGCCTGCTCAAAATATGCATGTATTTTCATTTGCCTCCATCATATTAAAGCCATGGATTCTATTGTTTGATGCCTTAGTTGTTTACTGCCTGCACAAGAGCTTTTTTGTTTGTTCTTTGATGGGGATAGTTTATTTCCATGTTCATATGCTTGTGACCTTTATATATATTTATACAATCATCACCAAGAAAGCTCAAGCTAGGCACATGGTACATGGACGACAAACACCATTTTATTATGTCAACAACACTATCCTTCAGAAAAACTGAACTTCTATTTCCTAACATTTAGTGAACTGACATCCATGAGTCCCCATGCTTTTTGTCCTTATGTGAATCCTAAAGTACCTTCAAGACTGGCATAACGCCTTGGCAAAAATCGTGTGAATAGAATCGAACTGGTATTTATTAACGAGAACTACGGAATCATTAGATAAATATATTGAAGTGGACAAAAGAAAAAAATATAGATCTGAAAAAGTAGTTAATATTGAATTCTTTGTGCAATTGACCGTTGGGAAGTAACAAGTACTCTGCGTTCGTTGGGAAGTAACAAGTACTCTGCGTTCACTTAAATTCTGCATTGTTTCTCACCGAAAGAGTGAAAGTGAACTACCTTCATAGCTTAGATAATGCTTCATTTTTTAGACTAGTAGTGATCCTTGATTCAAATCTTCGGGCATTACATATGAATATTTTGCGTCAGAGAGTCCCTTACAACTTAATCTAAAATACTTCTATTGTTCATGTAAACCTCATTTAAGGTGTAACATACGAGCTATATTTACCTTTAGAGAAAAATTTTCATGCGATGGCTCTGTAGTTTGCACCGTTTTAAAAAGATTGTTCAAGAAAAGGTGGACATTGTCTTCTAGCTTGGGTCAAAGTTTGCCGTCCACCGGAACTTGGAGGTCTAGGAATTTCAGACATCAAGTCCCTTGGCTGGCCTCTGCGCATGAGATGGGTTTGGCTGCAGAAAACAGAGCCTCATCGTCCTTGGGCTGCTCTCCCTTTCCATGTGCCTGAGTAAGTGAGAGCCTTCTTCTCTGTAGCAGTGGAATCTATAGTTGGAGATGGTGCAAATACTCTTTTCTAGACAGATCGGTGGCTTCATGGGCAATGCATTGCAGACCTTGCCCCTCGCCTTTTCGTGGCTATCCCTAAAAGGATTAAGCAGTGCACTGTTTGGGGCGCCCTCATTAACCGGGCTTGGACTTTAGACATTCAGGGATCTCTTACAGTTGGTGTGTTTGCAGATTATTTTTAGTTATGAGATCTATTGTTGGATTTTTAGCTACAACCAGAGGTTGAGGATAGACACTTATGGAGGCTCTTCTCCAATGGACAATATTCAGCCAAGTCAGCATATGAAGGATTCTTTTTGGGTTCTACTCTTTTTGGACCTTGGGAAAGGATTTGGAAATCACGGGCACCGCCCAAATGTCGCTTCTTTGTATGGCTCGTCGCGCACAACAAGTGCTGGACGGCTGATCGCCTAGCACGTCAGGGGCTACCTCATCCGGAGTACTGTCCTCTTTGTGTCCAAGAAAAGGAGACTATCAACCATCTCCTTGTCCAATGTGTGTTCCCAAGAGAATTTTGGTTCAATCTGCTCAGACAGGTTGGTCTCCAGGCTCTATCTCCTCAGCCCACAATTGGCGGTCCTTAACGCCTAAAAATAACCGCCAACTCCCACATAAAATCCTCCCATATAAACACCAAACTTAGTATTAGGGTTTATAACTAGCAAATTCCACTAGTTTTGGTGATTGTTCAAATGCCGGAGGATATATCGGGAAAACATGGAAAAATACTGAAAGTGCGCATACAGACAAAGCAT